TGAGTAGTACTCCATTGTGTAAATGTACCACAATTTCTCTATCCAGGAAGCATGCAGAGGGCAGAGGGCAGAGTGCAGAGGGGGGAACTATTTTTATCTTTTTCAATTAATTGTTTTCAGAATATGTGTGTGTGTGTGTGGTGTCTGTGTGTGTGTGTGTGTGTGTGTGTGTGTGTGTGTTTGTTTTAACATATGGCACAGTACATATGTGGATGTCTGAGGACAACCAGTGTTAGTTAGTCTCTCCTTTAACTATGTAGGTTTCAGGAGTCAAAATTATATTGAAGAGTCAGGGCCAGTCCTTTTTGTAGGGGCCAGTTTGCTAAGACTTCTATTCTGTATTACCCCACTATCCTATGTTGACTCATGTGTGGCTTCAACCAGACCCTCAGGAAGTGCATCCATTCTGATAGCCAATCAGGGAACAACCTGGCTACAAGCAGGAAGTGGTCTTGCTATTTGGAGTCAGGCAGATCCCTAAAATGGCAGGCAGACCACTGACACCTCAACTAAATTTCCTGATGAGATTTCCCTGGTCAATCATAAGACGATTTGTGTATTAATAAGAGTCTGTACCCAACCATTTCAAAGTATACTTACACACAGCTGTAGTTAGCCATAAAAGGGATGGCTTTACCCTACCCTGGATTCAAAGACATTTTGTTGGGACCATGCTGGATTTTCTTGATATAAGGCTGCTTTCTGCAATTGTATATCAGGTGTCTTCTGGTCATTCGGAGTTGTCCAAGGACCCTCCAACATCATCGGGTTTTGGGTCAAGTGCCTTTACACACTGAGCCATTTCATCAGCTCTTGGCAGTTTTAATATGATGACTTATTATTTAATGAATATATGATTGCAACATAAACCAGTTCTTGCAGCTATTTCAATTTTATCTTGCTGTTTTTAAACAGTTGACAGTTAGAAATGCAAAGATGCAGGGCTGAAATGTGGGTCAGTGGTTAAGCACACTCTACGTTTTTTTTCAGAGGACCAATGTTCAGTTCCCAGAACACATAGAATATCTTACAACCATCTATATTTCCAGTTCCAACAGCTCCTATACCCTCTTCTTGTCTCCAAAAACACTGCACCTACATAGTACATATACACACATACCATCAAATATTCATACACATGAAATACGTTCAAAATCTATCAAAACTGTAAGTATTAAGCCTGTAGAGGCTTTTTGCCTCTAAAGAAACCAAATATGAGCTATCTTCATCCATGTTATAATTATATTATAGACCCCTAGATGTAGAAACTTAACATCCCTTACCTTCATACAGCAAATAATAACTTATAATCATTAATAAGAATTAATATTCACAAGGTACCGATTGCAGTAGTCATTTCCCTTTCCTCTCCTATCTCCATAGTGCATTATGGATCTTGGTTTGATCACACCCTTGGATGGTTGACAAGAAGAAACACAGAGAACTTCCTACTAATGTCCTATGAGGAGCTACAGAGGGTAATTCTCTTTTACTTGGAGATTGAGGGGAAATATTCATATAAGGAATTAATCATCAACTTTGTTCAACAAACAAACCTAGCAAGGAGAGGGTGTCAGACAGTAATAATTGGGCTGCTTTGTTCTTGTTCTCTGACCTTAAAGACCTCCACATTTAACAATGTGCCTTTCTAAAACATTAGATTGTCCTCTTGGGTTTTTTCCCACAAAGTTATTTAACAAAAATGCCTAATCTTATTCTGATATTTTCAAAGCATTGCTTCAGCTTTGATGTACTCTAAGACCTGTGAAAACAACTCCCACCATTAAGGTTAAATAATTTAAACTAACTGGGCTATGGGACTCAATTGTTAATCCTTAACTTAAACACCAATCCGTGCAGCTTGTTAGGTGAAATTCGAATATGCTACCTGTGAAACATAATCTTGTATTCATTTTTATTCACCAAAACTCTGTGTGAAATATCATTATTGCCATCCAATTAGACATTAGAGTTTAGGGGAGTTGTGATCTTCTTGATAATCCACATGTAAAAATGCCCAGTATAATGAACAGTGAATTACAGGCCGGTGATCCCCTCCATCTTCTCATACCATGCCGGATCCTAGAGAAAGAGGGCTGCAGCAAACATGTAAAGGCACAGCAGAAGCAAAAAGACATTCCAGGGTCATCAGTCCATGGACGAGCTTAATGAGATTGGCCCATTAGAAGATTTGCTTCAGGTGGGATGACACCTGGGACTTCAGTTACAACTCAATGATCCTCTGGCCTAGACACTGGCAATGGGTAGATAATAAGATTAAGCCATGTCTTGTTAAAGATATGTGCTTTGTCTAAATGTTCCTTCAGGTGGCTTTTCTTCGGGATTCTAGCCTGGCACATGTTCTTGTTTCAAGCTCAATGTTGTTAGTATATGGAAGTTTTCACAGTAGTTCCTACCCTGACAACCTGCCCACATCAACAAATTGGATGCAGTCACCTCCATACCTTCAAAATGGGGCCTAGGGACAATCAAATGAACTACTGGACTTAAAGGTTAGGAACAGGACCTTTCATAGGGACTTCCAGAGGATGTTTCAGGCTTGAGTCCTAATTAAGAACTCAGGACAGGCTAAGAGACCCCTCACCATTGTAAGCCGCAAATAGTAGTGGTTGTTCACACTCTTTTTATTTGCTAATGTACTCTAGTGACCAATGAGATTCTGATTTGTTTCTGTCATATAGTGTTTTTAGAAAGTTCACTTGGATTCATGAGATTTGCTCTTTTCCAGTAAAATTTGTCAATGACAAGTTTGCAATGAAAGATAAAGTTGATCAAGGAGCAGAAAAATTTTACACACGTTCTTATATGAAATCTAGATCACCTGTGTGTTGGCCACACCGCCACTTGTTGAAGATGGACTGTGCAGATGAGGGGAAGGATTGAAACATTGCCCAGCAAAGAATAGTGGGTGATAATGTGAATATGAGCTCAGTCCAATGATATACATTTGTTAAAAGTGACATGATAAAATCATACATTCTGTACACTTAATTTATGTTTTGAAAAGGAAAAGCCATGAGCTTGAATTTGGATCACCAGTCAGAACATTAGCTGCTCTTCTAGAGGACCTCAGTTTGTTCCAAAACCCATGTCACTTAGCTGACAACTGCCTGTAACAATAGCTTCAGGGAAATCTGATACCCCCTTTTGGCCTCCATGTCCTCTGATGCCTACACACACACACACACACACACACACACACACACACACACACACACACACACACACACTAAAATTTTTCTCCTCACTGTGGTTGGCAGTTATCCTTGAGGAAGGAATGGGTTTTCTTTTCATGAATCCTTATCCTTTCACCATGTAAGACAGAGTACGAAAATGGATGAAGTTCAGGTTGGAGCAATGGTAAAATCGTTAGGTGTACATTCTGTCTTTACAGATGAAATGATTCTATCCCCAGTATCCACTTGATGGTTCCTAGCCACCACTAATTGCAATCCAATGGTATCCACTTTACTTTTCTGAACTCAGTGGGTATTGCATGCTCATGCCTCATATATGTATTGATATTATACATTATATATTATAAATTTATCAACAACTTATATTTTATATCATACAATATAATGTATTATTATATAGGATATTCATAGTAAAATTAATAAACACTATAAATACTATTTATTTGTAAATATACTACATGTCTATTCATTAGTATAATTATATATAGAATATATAATGTAGGATGTTCAACATACAATATTATGTCACACAACAAGGAAGTATTCACCTTGATGAGAGCTCAGGGGCTCTGTCTGCACCTGTGCTTGTTTTTACTCTCCTCATCACTCCTTTTCCACCCACAGGACCTCAGAGGCAACATGGAAAAAGTGTGTCAATTTTTGGGCAAACATCTGAGTCCAGAACAACTTGATTCTGCTGTCCAATACTCGTCCTTTTCAGTCATGAAGGATAATAGAATGTCCAACAGTGCAAAGATAAAGAATTCTGAAGATAAGACTGACTCCAGTATACCATTGCTGAGAAAGGGTGAGAGAGTTAGAGCATCAAGGTTGTGCTGTAGTAACGGGAAGGTTTTCAATGTTTGCATAAAGCATGAGGCATGAAAATGGATGAGCCTGGAAGTTAGCATCATGTTCTTTCAGAAAGAGTCTGCCCACAAATCCATTATTGAAATCTTTAGAACTATGGCACAGCAAGAGAGGAATGAGAGGTACCTGTGGCCCCTGGCTCTGCCTGGGCAATGGATAAGTCCTGTGTATACACTTAAACCATTCAGTCTCAGTGACAGTGTCCAAGTCTGTAAGAAACCAGAGATACAGTCACAGTAGCAAGACTTTCCAATTCAGAGGGTTTTGTGGGATTACAACAGATGACACATGCAAGCATCCATGTGAGTATATGATATATGGAATGGTTTTCATCCATATTAGAATATGTTGACACACACAGGGATTTTGAGAGATTCCAGTGACTCTATGACAAGTGAAAAAAGTCAACAATATAAATCTATATACAAAATATTTATGTAACATTCATAAAATAAAAAATAATTTTAGATGCCGAAAATATGTTGCTGATGTTTTGGAATCCAGAGTGGTGGGACTTGATGGTTCTTATTGACAAAAGATGTAATAATATTAGGAGGTGTTTGTGGCAGTGGAATATCTATGTATTTCAGTGGAAATGGCTTATAAAAATTCTCACATGGAGAAAAGTGATATACAACACATCCGTTTTTCTAGGGGTGACTTTTTCTGATCATAGCATTGTGTAAAACTTCCTTTAATTTTTTAATACACCTTTGTTGGAAAGATAGTTTAAAGACACAACTCTTGGTGCAAAAAAATTTTTTTTTGGTTTTTTGAGACAGGGTTTCTCTGTGGCTTTGGAGGCTGTCCTGGAACTAGCTCTTGTAGACCAGACTGGTCTCGAATTCACAGAGTTCCACCTGCCTCTGCCTCCCGAGTGCTGGGATTAAAGGCATTCACCACTAACGTCCGGCTCTTGGTGCAAATTCTATAAACAGCTACTCTCTCCTGTGGTTGCCATTTTTCCCATTTGTGGGTGTTGGATGGAAGTTCAGTTTCAGAACTTAGTTTGGTCAAAGGTCCAAGACTAGGATTTTCCATGTAACCTGTTTGGTGCTCACAGCCACCAAACTGAAATCATCTCAAGTCCTGTCCCTTTTATTCTAATGTAGTGTTGAGAGTTGACAGTTGGTGTAGAGTAGAAAGTTGTAGGACGACTCGTTTTGTTCTTGATTAATACCAACTGGATTGATGAGGTGAGAGTGTGACAGGCTTGGCTGCATATGGGATTTTTGCTCATTTCCTGGTGCTTTTCCTTCTGTATTTGACAGGCATTAGTGGGGACTGGAAGAATCACTTCACTGTGGCTCAAAGCGAAGTCTTTGTCAAAATCTATCGGGAGAAGATGTCAAGCTTGGATCCTGGTCTCTTCCCCTGGTCAAAAGACTGTTGATTCCTCTCCATTCCAGATAGGGCTTCTCAGTGTAGCCGTAGCAGTCCTGGAGCTCACTCTGTACACAGGCTAGCATTGAACTCAGAGATAGGCCTGCCTCTGCCTTCCCAGTGCTGGGACTAAATGTGCTCACCATTACTGCAAAGTTGTCTGGTAGGAAAACTCTAAACTTTGTAAGAACGCTTAGTGTTAGCTATGCACACTTTATAAATCTATCATCTGGATGCAAATTAGTCATCTGGGATCAGGAAATTTCAATTGAGAAATTGCCCCCATCTGAATGGCCTGTAGGAGGTCCTTCCCCACTCAAGGTGGTACCTTCCCTGGGGAAGCAGCTCCTGGATGTATGAAAGAAGAAATCTGAGCAAGCCATAGGGAGAAGGCCATAGGGATCAATCCAGTAAGTGTCATCCCTCCTTTGTCTCCATTCCAGTCCCTGCCTCAGATTCCTGACGAATGACCTTAAGGTGAATTAATCTTTCCCCTCCCTCATATCAATGTATTGAAGATCAGAATAGTATTCTTTTGTTTTGCCCTGCATTAAAAATCTCAGAAGAAAGCATTTAAAAAAAAAAAACTTAGTAGAATTTGCGGTAGACATATCTGTACCTAGTTTCCAAATCTGAATTGTATGTAAGGTATTCATATTAAAAATCAATATATTGCTCCTTTTAAACCATTGCAGTGAAGAATTTAATGATATTGAAGGGGGTAGGCAGAGAAAAATGTATGGTTGCCTGAGCTTTACCTCTACAGTTAGAAACTCACAAATCGTCAACACTTTATCAGAACTGAAAACAGGT